TTTAAACGTAACTGCGATTTTGTTATGTTTGAGGACTTATAACGACACTAATCCATTAAGGCGACGTAACAGATCCTTTTTGAATAACGTAACGTGTAACCTTGAAAACAAAGATGTGACGAAACTGAGATATGTTTTTGGTTAGTGGGTACAGGATTGCTCAATCCCATAAGACAAACGTTCATAAAAACATCGAAGATGGCGGTATGCACTTTCCTTGCATTTTCAAACGTGAAAAATTGTTATTTTGAGGTTATTTCCTTTGAAAACTGTATTTTGTAATTAATTTATTAATTTTAAAATTAGCAGACTTCAAAAGTTTGTGTCCTTGAGACTTGAGTGGTTGGCTAATTAGAAAGACGAGTTTGTTTTGCTTTTGTTTATCAATTAGTCAAACATGTTGCCAAAAAGTCAAAAAAACAAAGGGCTGGAGTCAAGCTGGCCCCCGGATTTGTTCTAATGTTTTTTTTTTTTTGTGCTATGGAAATGAGCACAATTCGCATAAATACTGGCACACAATTGAGCACAAAACGGCACAATTGACTACAGTTGAGAAACAGTAGAAAACCAAATGTGGGGTGCCAACTTGAGCGAGCCGGTTTAATTTTTGCATTTCAATATCAAACTATTAGGCAATCCAATCCATCTGTCAAAAAGGAAAATTCAATATGGCGTGACGGCTAAGCAAGTCTTGTTTTGAATATGTTTTCATGAGTACCTACCTATTTTAAATTATTTTGCTTTAGAGTTTTGCTTGCAACTTTGATTTTGATTATTTAATAAAATATTTGTTGACTAGGTACCTAAACTATAAAATCAGGCAGAAATTAGATATTTGCTTGTGTTTTTTGGCCCATGTGTGGCCGCCACGCCATCTTGATTGTCACGTGGATTGGATTGCATATAAGCGAAACGTGGTTGCAATAGTGTTTTATTTTATACTGCCCCTACCTACTTCTCAATTATTATTCAATAGTTTAATAGGTACTAGAAAGATTTAATATGGACATTCAAAGTAAGCTTATTTCACAAAGCCAAATAGTGTGTACCTAATTTAGATTTTCATAATCATATTCCAGAAAAAACACTGCAAGTTTCCCATATTTTCCATGCGTTTTCATAGTAAACGCGCCAGTACAGGAATTTATTTACTTATTTATTTATTCACTCTTCACAAACACTATTTTTTAGTTACATTACATGCAAAGGAAACTTACAACTAAATAGATATTTGATTTACAAAAAAAAGCAATACAAATGCTTGACTAGGAAATACTTAACAGTAGAAAAAAAGCAATACACACGAATAAAACGAAGCGATGTCCTGATACAACAAATACAGTATTATATTAAAACCACTAAAACCAGAAAATGCTTTCGCGAGTATTTTCAGCTACGAGTCTTTAATGCTTACACAGATTGAATGAAACTTTAAATTATACACTTATAACACGTGATTTGACGTGATAAATCCGAATTTACGATAAAATAATTAGGCAATCTCAATCACGTGATTTTATAATGGCCGTTCGGGTCAAATATTGCCGTGACAAGGGTGACAAGCCGGTGACGTTCATAAGGAGAGCATTTGCATTTGTGCACATTTGTGTTTTGTTGCTTTCGAAGTGAATTTTATAGTCTTTGGTGTTTCTACGTATTTTTTATTGGTTTTGGCCATTTTTGTTTTCATAGTGAATTTTATAGTCTTTAGTATTTCAACGTATTTTTTAGTGTTCTGGCCCTTGTTGTTTTCAAAGTGATATTTATATTGTTTATAGTGTTTCTACGTATTTTTTAATTTATTAATAAATTCTGAGATGGAGAGTGAATATTTTAAGGTATTATTAGGGGAAAATCGAGCCTCTGTTAGATCCTTTCTTTTAATTGCAGCAATCCATAAAGCCCTGCGTTGCCAATGATTTAAAATAGCAGGAACTGAATAAAATTTCACATTTTTCCTGTTACCTCGACTTCTACACCCAATTACGATGCAAATCGCTGGCATTTTAATTAACACAATACCTAAACACACAAAAAAATACAAAATCCGATAATTCAAATCTGGACGTTTGTCCAGAATGTGACAGAATCAATGACATACAGAATAAACAACACAGTGCTTGACCCAATGCTTGACCCGAACTTCCATACCTTCCATATTGAATTTCGTTTTTGACAGGTCAGTAGATTGCCTAATCCACCTATCTTTTATTACCTTGACTGCGCGCGCAACTCGTGGGCTGCAGGTGAGCATCCAATGAAAAGCGAGTTTGTTACGGGCTTGCGTCATATTCTTATTCAAATGCCAGTTCAGAATTAATCGTTCCTTCTTTCTTTGTAACGTGTAATTCGACAAAGAGCAAACTAATACTTTACGTATTACTTCTGAACTCACCGCAGTGTTGTTTAAAATTATGTCGGATTATACTTGACATAATCCTTTGGACTTTTATTGTGCAATGTTGTCGGATGAAACATTTATCAAAATAAAAGTGCCAACGATGTGAACATACACTTTAAAGCTCTTCTTTTATCTGATTCAAAGGCGTTGTAAAACACTTAACACTATATCACTTCTTTAATGGCATAATGTTCGATTTGTATTGTCTACATTTGTTCTGCAACAATACAAACTGGCTACACTGCAACCCACTAGTTGCGCGCGCATGTCATCTTTTATTTCTTTCGAACTTGTATTTATTACAATTAAACTCTCTTTTTCTATTTATGCGAGACAGGTCAATTGTCAGCACCAATGAAGCACTACAGTGGCTAAATAAACCTTTACATACAGTGGCGACAATAGATGTCCCGCCGCCATTTTGTTCCCAACCTCCTATTACTTTTAAATATTAATATATAGGATTTAAATAGACATCTATCATAAAAAATTGAAATCGACGTATTTGATGACTATTATTAGGACCATCAAATACGTTGTTTTCCATGTTTTATGATGGATGTTTACCCAAATCCCATATATTCATATTTGAAATAAGCAATAGGTGGGAACAAGATGGCCGCGTTTTCCTTATAAATATATGGGATTTTAGAACCAATCAAAAATAAAGACAGCAATTGTCGCCACTGTGGGTAATAGAGTCACTGTAGTCAGCACAAACTGAACATCATTCATATCAGCGGCCATCTTGAAGATCCGGGATGCACGTGACGTCACAGCAATTGTGAACAAATTTAGCCGATTGAGCAATCCTGTAGAGTTTACGATTCTTGCCTCTTGGCGGACATTTTAATTTGAGTTTGACAGCATATTGGATAGTCTAATATGGCGGCGAATACCAAAAATGAGGCCGATAAGCAAAGCACTCCTTTGAGTGTGTATTCTCCTTGCAGGAGGCAGGCATTAAAACCACTTATATTCTCATCAGTTAACTGGCCACATTCAGCCCTCAAAATGCCGGACAAAATAGTTATTTATGTATCAAGGGAATTATGAGGGTGTTAATACCCCAGGGCAACGTTTGTGTCCCAAGGGCCTTCGGCCCGAGGGACACCAATTGCCCGTGGGTATTAACACCTGATAATTCCCGTGGTACATAGATAATTTTATTTCCTACTGAATTTACTGTATTTTGTCCATTTTTAAAAAGAAATAAACCAAAATTTCTATTTTTTTGTCAAAGTTTCACCTTTCACCTCACCTATTCAAGGTAAAAGCGGGAGTCATAGAAATCCTTAACTCCCTTGGGAGTTAAGACCCTGTTTAATATTATCGTAACCAAGGTATTATATGGTTATAACAGTTCAGTAGGAAATAAAAAAAATTACTCCACTAAACAGGCCCTATCAGATCAGTGGCTCTATCTCAGAGTCTATAGGGCCACTTTCACGTGCCGAGAATATGGCAAATTATAATATTTTTTGACGCAGATACATCAATGCAACCAAGAATGAACAATATTTTGCAAGATTTTAGTCAGATTATTAAATAAATTAATAAATAAAAACTAAAAATTAAAACGAAAAATCACGTGATTGAAAACGCTCTGTGATTGGCTAAAGCCGATTTTGACATTTTTGTTGCCACATGTAGAAATGCGAAATTTAAATGAGTTATAAGGATTATAAAGTGCGTTTTTTTTTAAAGATAAAAGTCAAACTGACATTAGGTTGGCAATACAATGTAAAATTGTCAATGCTTTCAAATTTTTCATGTAGAAAAGGCTTGTGTTGCCAACATAGTTACTAAATTTTTGACTTGGGGAATTATCTTAAAAAAAAAACAGATTTTACCTATCCTTTATTTTTTTATAATGTAGTAAAGGACGAAAATAGTTTCTAGCTAGTGAAATATGTAATGATTTACTAATGAAAAATTTGGCATCCTTGATTTTCTGGTGTGTGACGTCACACACCAAGTTCATTTTTTCACTCCAGAGGCGATTTTCAGCCTGGAATGATTATTATTTGGTTATAACCAATGCATTTCCGCCATCGCGGTTTTAACCAAAGTAGGGGAAGTTGTGACGTCACATATCAGCTGATTTGCTTTTGGTATTTACCACTTATAACCGATTATAACCCAGCTTTGGACTTGGGTTAATCTTTTGGTTACAGCTTTTTGATGTTATTGTTATTATTTTTGGAATTTGTATTGGTGTTTTGTGATTTTGCAGTTGCGTTGTAGCCTGGCACAATGAAAGAAGTATACATTCACTCACTCACTGCAATTCACCATGTTTAGATCGAGGTTTAGATCATCCCCAAAGAAAATCTGTTCGATAAACGAGACTAACGAGAGATTCAGCTCCATTTTTTTGTACCTAAACAAAAAACTATTGTTGAAATGAAAAAACAAATAAGAATAATAAACATAATACTACACTGCTATAACCAAATCATTTCAGCGGTCAGTTCCTTGGGTTATGATTCTTGGATGGTGGGGGGCTATGACGTCACATTTGGCTGTCAAAGTTGTCAACCAAAAGAATAACCACGGTATTTACCTATAAATAATCATTCCAGGCTGAAAATAGCCTCAGTTTAAAAATTCGATTTTTAAATAATTTTTTTTTCAAAAATAAGCGTTTTTTTTCGGAAAAAAAGTATACAGATAGTATTAGAATGACTAAAAGAATAATTTAAAAATGTTTTTGAAAAATGTGAAAGTGGCCCATTACGGTGATTTCTGGAAAATGCCCAATATGACGTCTTCTTGACTTCAACTGAACATAACCTGGCTTTTTTGTTTAGGTGAGGACTAGAGTGGGTTTGTTTATGTTGGTTCTTTAAATTTCAAATAAATTAAATTACAAATTACATCATTCTATTAGTTTATTAAAATCTCTTGTAAGCTTCCAGTGCCAACTTATAATGGAAAATCTCGAGGAAAATCTCTCTATAATGCGAACTCGGATCTCGACTCGAATGCGATATAACATGAAAGGTAAATTAATTTTAAGCTAACCGGCCAAAATCTAGTAAAATTTGCATCTGTACACATGGGTATCAAATTATTCCTTCTAGGAGTATTTTTAGCAACAATACCATGCATCATTAGAAATGTGTTTCTCTATAACTATTCCTTAAAGTTATACTAGGTACCTACATTTTCACTTGAATATGTACTTATTACATACTTGTAACTTTTGAATTTCATTAAAAAACGATGCCTACTACCAAGGCTTTAACCTGTTTGTTACCACTTTTTAAAAGGAGGCACATCAACAACTTCATATACTATACTGTTTGTCTTATTATATCAGTGTACATACATGGTCCAACGTTCAAACCAGAAATAGGTACTTGCAGTCGCCAAAAATTTAGCATTCCTGGATCAAATTGAGTATCACTCAAACCTAATCCTAATCAGTATGAAAGAAAACCTACCATCTGTGGTTGAGATTATTGTTTTAAAAGTTATAAATTACTGGCAGTGTGTATTCACTACCTTGGGCTTTTTACCTTATAGATAGATATATGGTATATGGGTTTAAGTAATACAATAATTCACTGGGTTACTTACAAGGTACAACTACCAAGACCCAACTACAAATCTATATTTCAACACATGAAATTGCAACATGAGCTTTGCCTTGACTGAATGACCTTTTGTCATGTGGTGTCTTTACTCATACTCATACTCATACTCATACTCATACTGGATGCTGTTCAGAAATTTGTCTAACGACTGACGAACTAGGAGGCGGTTGAACAGCAGAAGTTGAGAGCGGTTGAACACAAGAAACAGAATTTGGCTGAGACTGATTAATACCAAAATTATATGCAAAGTTGTACAATAACTTATAAATTGAAATTATTTTCCTTGCATTTAAAGCGAGATTCAAAGTTTAGTTCTGTTTGTCTTGAATACCTTCGGTACCTAAGTATTTTTTTCCGAATTTGTCCATTACAATGTTGGATCTATCGTTAACCTTCTCCATTACTTTTCCTTTTTTTTCATTCATTTTCCAGCTGAATTGAAATCGTCTCACCAATAAGTAACTCAGGTAAATCTTTTGAGTTTTCATCATAAAAACAAACTTTCTTGTTTCTTTAATATTGATTCTTTTATTTCATCATTGTCAATCAAGATGGATTTTACTTAATGCTTTTGCAGAAACTGGAATTTGGGTTTTTGTGGCGAATAATTGTTTAAAGAAAGAATTGAACGAGGAATTGAAGTATTGTTGTATCCAATACCAAAAGAGGCAGGTCAGACTCCTTTTTATACTTTTCAAGCATACTTTTCAGGCATTTTGACTTGTTGAGATTTGTTTTTTCAAACATATATCAATTCCCTGGTTTAAACCATTTCAGATGCAACATAAATGGCCTGGTATTTGCTGCTCAGTTTCTGGGCGTTTGGGTAGATAGGGACCCTCGTTTCGAAGACCACAACTTGAGTTTGAAGTTCTTTTTTATGTGCTTTTATCAATGCTTCTTTACATTCAAATTCAATTATTATAGACCAAATAACAAAAATTGAAAGCCCTGAATTTCTCAAAACTTGCTTTTTATTTATAGGTGAATTAAAAGCTTCAATAGCTTTTATGTTTGAAATATATGGCTTTAAACTGTCATTGAAAATTTCTTGTCCCAAAAACTTTACCTTGTCCAGTTTATACTAAATTTTATTTAAAAAACAACTCCACATTGGTTTTGAGGGCTCTATGAAGGATCTCCTAAGGGTTTTATCATGACTTGCCTCATCAACCCCAGAAATAATAATGTCATCAAAATGATATATTTCCCCACCAAAGATTTCAAAATTTTTACGTGGGATTATTTCTGGAGGCCTTGAAATTCCAAAACAGTAGCAACTGTCAAAATCCAACCAAATAAACTTTTTTTCAGATCACATTTTCCAACCTCTACCACAAGAAATAATCAGAGGTCATGATTTGTTCAAAGCAGAAGAGAAAAAGTAAGTTTTTAATTAGTTTTCATTGTAGCTAACTTACCCATTATCAGTTCAAATCAAGGTTTAAGCTCCTTTATAGTATTGTAAAGACCAATTGAGGAAATTTAACTTGATTTTGTTGGAACAAGTTTCACTTGTAGATATTTTTGGGGTTATTGTAATTAAATAGACAATGCTATCTTGAGGAAGCTTATTTGGGAATCGGTTTTGGTGATAATTGAAAAGATAAACAAAAATCTTCTTGACAAAAAGTTACCTAAATCTTTGCATTTTTTTTTCTAGTAAATATTTTGATAAATTACTCAAAAAAACTCTACCATCAAGTGACTGGCACGGAATAACATCGGGTTTAAAATGGAAGTTCTTCCTCGATCAACATTCATTGGAAAAGCCCAATAGAAGGAACAAAAAGAAAACATTTCTTACTAGGAAGGAAAGAAAAAAGGCGGGATTGTTGAAATTACCAAAGGTAATCCGAGTTTTTTTTTTTAAATATTGAATACTGAGCTTTTTATTTTTTTCTAGGATGAGTGGAATTACAATTCCTTAGAAGCAATACGAAACATGTGGAAGGAGTATATGAGAGAAAATTTAGATTTAATTAATAAAGCTCCTACATGCACTGATCAAGAGTGGAACAGCTTCAGGTAAGACTATATTTCAACTTACTTATAGTAATCTTTAAATAAAATTTAATATCAAAAATTGATTTATTTTGTTAATATGTAGATAAATTCCAACTAACAAATTTAATGTATGTCGAACCAATACAATGAAACTCTTTGTTTTTTAGTGTAATAGTTGCAAAATCCGAAATGATCGGTTCCGATATAAAAGTTATAAAATCTAAAGTTCCTAGCTTAATAGGAATGAGCGGAACTGTGGTTTTGGAAACTAAAATGTCTTTCCAAATAGTTACACCTCAGAATAAACTGAAAAGTAAGTTTTGTTTTTAAAATGTAGTCACTGTTTTATTCTATTTTGCATTATTTTAGTTATACTTAAAGATACTTCAGTGTTTCAATTTGTACTTGACAATATGAAATTTACATTCTTTGGCAAGCATTTGACCGCAAGACCGAGTGATAGGAGTGTGAAAAAAATTAAAACTTTAATGCAACCTGATTTGTGATTACAACAATAATTAAGTATATTTACTAAAGTTACAACTTTGTATTTATGGTTTATTTACAATTCAATCCTCTCAAGATTGTACGTTCCAGGATACTTTCAGCGGTTTTCTGGATTTATGTAGGGTAAAACATTATGATGATTTGAAAATTATCAATATTCATTTATCAGCCATATTAGGTACCTTCCTCCATAATTTGGATAAGAGTAAATTTCAAAATAGGATCGAACCAAAACTTTCACCTTACAACTGATATGATTATGATCAGTAATAATTGAATGCATTTTATATTTTTATAATGTTTGCTCTGGAAATTAATGTATTAGGTATGTTCAAAAGCAAACATTTCTGTAATTGTTTTCATGTTTTAAATTATAAAAATCTTTATGTGTTTTGGGATTTATTGAATAAAAAAGACTCAGTTTTGTAATTTCTTTAAAAATAAATGTACTTTATTCAAACATGTATCACAGTTGGACCAAATACTGTATCAATATACTCATATACTTGAACACAATTAGATTTTGAGCTAACATCAGCACTAGCTCCCCACAGAATTAGTCCGTCAATGTTGTAACTAGCTATAGAAGTTAAGGTCATAAACAGATCTTGCTAAAACAAAAATAAGCTTAATTTTTCAGGTTTTTTACATAAATACGGTTCTACCTTTGACAAATAATTTCCTGTATCTTGATATTTGTACCAGTAATAGACATAAATCTTTTTGTTAGAGTCTGAATTATTTCTTATTCTAATGGCTTCATCCAAGGAGGTTTCAATGTACCGTACTCGTTGCTCTGCTGTGTAAGATTCTTGCAAATATACTGAAGGATAGAGGCTATCTGACAAATCAAATAACCAATTTATTCTAAAAAAGAATTGCAGATGGTATATTAAACTTATGTTAACTATATCTTGAAGAATTTCTATTCAATATGTATCAAATAACAGTGAAAACTCAGAGAAAGTTTCTGTACAAAATTTGATAGCCGTTTAAAAATACTTCAGTTTCTGTTCAACAATGGCATGGAACCTTCTTTTGGGTTGATGGAATTACTTAGCAATTAACTTGAGTTTTATTTAGCCAATTCTTTGAACAACGTTAGGGACGTTTTGCACTGTTACTCATAGTGATTTCCTATACAATGTAATGTACAACTGGAAAAAATTAATTTCTCAGATTCCTCAAAATTTTGAAGAATTGTAATAAATGTATTATTGAACTACAGTAGAAGATTATTAGACAACAAAGTAATTTACCGATCGTTCTCGTCCATAACTAACTTGCTACATTCCTTTTGGTAACCATCGCCAAAGCAATAAGGAAAGTGGTAGTAACCCCACAAGGATTTTGGTCTTAATTCTTTAGCCAACTTGAGTGTTTCTTCCATAAATAATTTGGCACCTTCATCAAACCTGGTACAACTCTTAGTTTATTTATTTTTAATTATAGGTATTCGTGTTCTCTTACCTTCTTGCAGCTTCTTTTTTGATCCACTCTTCCGGCCAAGCGGAATATTTTTGTCTCTCTATATGTTCGGATAATGTTTGATATGGCAAAAGTTTGCCCCAGTGTTGTCTGTATATTGGTCTCCAGCTTTCGAAGTCTATTATTGCTAAACCTAAATAAAATATTATAAAAAAATAATAAGTATTTTTGAAAGTTTTTACCTGCATTATTTTCATCTGGTATTAATTGATTTACAATGTCGGTGAAAATTTCTAGATGTTCTGTTAAGTTTCCTTCCTGAGGAACACCTCCGTTTCTGCAATGATAAATTTTTTTGGTATACAATATTGTTCAAAATGTCTATAGTTATAGTACCTTAGAACTTCTTCATCTCCTTTTTTCAAAATGGCAGGAAATTTTCCAGGATCGTACAAAATATTTATATTTTCGCCTCTAAAATCGGCATTGTCATTATGTATTATATTGTATTTATCTAGAAGGTCTGCGAAATTGAGCAAAAACGGGTTGCACTGGAACGAAGGGACGTTCCAGTAGACTTTCAGTGGTGCTCTTAGGAGTTTTATTTCGTGATTTGTGCTGAAAAGAGTATAAGAAGTGATACATAACATATTTTTGGTCCGTCAGATGATAATTATATTATGGATAATTTGAAGCGAATAGGTACATAAGAGGTAACTGATAAGTTTGCGTCTTTTTTTGGATCATGTTTATATTGAAATGCTGCTAGATCATTAAGGATATAGTGATTAAATTGCCTCAGTGTATTTGTCCAGTAGATCTAACTAGTTATGCTTCTGGAAAGGTATACACAAAATATTGTACATTCCAGTATACTTTTGGTCTTCTGGATGAATCAATGCCAATACGTTATTATGATTTCAAAATTATTAATATTCACTGTAAATAAAATTAGTCTTCTACATACTTATCATTGTTATCATCCGTGTTATCTCCGTCCATAACTTGGATATAAATAAATTTTAGGATGAAATCGAGCCAACACTTCTACCTCGCAATCGATATTTTCAATGAGTTTTCTATGTTTTGAAACATGCATGCAAAATTATGAGCTTTTTAATTAAACTTTTCACTTATATATAGGTAGGCAATATTCAAAAGCAAACATTTTTGTAATTGTGTTTTTATCTTTTAAATTATAACAAACTTGTTTATTTTAGGATTTTATTTTAAAATTAACCACCCAATTTAGTAATTTCTTTAAAAATAAATGTACTTTATTTAAACATGTATCACAGACAGATTTAAGACCCGAGGGACAAATCGATAGCCAAAGGACATGGCACTAAATATTAGAATCCTGGTGATCGGTCGATTTTTTTAAAACTGCAGTATGTTATTCTATTCCTGAAAACAAGCATTTTTGCTTATGGTCACTTCTTTGTACGAGTATGGGATGTCCCAGAAAATTGAGTTCAAAGTTTTTATATGAAATATTTCCTTTGAAGCATAAACTTATGTTTAACTGATCTGTTATGTGATCTTGCAACTTATACATTTAAGACAAAGCTATTTATGTAGTTAAGGACAAAAATTATATTTTTGACCAAACTACTCTCTAAAGAAAGCCAATAACCAAATCAACTGCTACAAAACTATAATTACCTAAAATATCAATAATAACTATAAACATTGTAACAATGCTCGCCAGAGATTATTTGAAGTAGCTGCTATTCCTCGGAAACGATTTGGATTTAATACTGTAGAAATAGATCAACAAATACAAAAATATGCCATATAGGCCCAATTTCACAATTGGTGGTAACCTTGTGGTAACCTGCACTGGTTATCGGATATCGGACTCATATTTGCGGGATGACTACATGGAATATTCTGAAGCTTGACCAAAGATTTTGGCTAAACCACACATTATGAAACAGATATATTGTAGGTGTAGGTTACCAGTGTCTTGTGTTTACCGTTGGGTTATCACTGTTTGTGAAACTGGCCCCAACTGTGTTGTTAATACAACAGACCAATACATATTCAAAATCACTAAACCGATACATCAAACATTTGATATAAATACTTAAAACTCAATTTTTTTAAGCGTTATTTTGGTTATTGGCTTTTTTTAGAGTGTAGTTTGGTTTAAAATAAAATTGTTGAGACACCCTGTATAATAATTTTTGCTCTTAACTACATAAATATCTTTGTCTTTAATGCATAAGTTGCAAAAATGCATAACAGATCAGATAACATAGTTTATGCTTCAAACAAAATATTCCATATAAAAACTTTGGACTTAATTTTCTTGAACATCCCATACTCGTACAAAGAAGTGACCATAAGCAAAAATGCTTGTTTTCAGGTATAGAATAACATGCTGCAGTTTTAAAAAAATCGACCGATCACCAGGATTCTAATATTTAGTGCCATGTCCTTTGTACAAAAAATTCCAATAATAAAATAGTACCTATATTATATACCTAGGTAGAGAAGTTGGTCCTTATATACCGAGCGCTTTTATAAACCGAGGCGCTCGCGCCGAGGTTTATAATGAGTGAGGTATATAATGACTTTCTCTACCGAGGAATATATAGAATTTTTTTTACTACTGCTAGTAGAAAATGAAAAATTTGTTTAAAATCTGTGCTCCAATTATTTTTTTTTGAACGCCCTCTTGAAAGTGCTGCCCTCTATCAACAGCTTATGATAACTTCCTATCTACAGAAACCTGTATTTTTTTTTCAAATTGACGTATGGAAATGAAATTGAACCAATAGAAACATGACAATATCCTTGCGTCATGACGTCATTTTCATTATTAACCTAGGTATTTTTTCATTATTTTCATTATTCACCTAGGGAGAGAAATTCAATTTTTTCCTAGAAAAATAGATTGAATAATGACAATTTCTCAGGTTAGTAGTAAAAAAAAAGTTTTGTGTTGTTGGCATTTTAGTAGTAGGTACATAGTAGTAATAGGTACCTATATTTATTTGAATTTATGTAGGATCTTTTTCATTAGCTAAAATAGTTATTTATGCAATAAGTGTGTAAAGTGAACATTTTTTCAAGAATGTGAATTTTGACAAGGCGAGTGCGACAATTACAGGAGTGAAAAAAGGTCCTTTATGCACGTATTGCATACAAAATTTTTTCTACTTCCAATCAAATAGGTATGTGTTAAAAGATAGATTTAGACAAATACTTTACGCACTAGTGCGTGAAGTATTTTCACTTTACGCACTAGTGCGTGAAGTAATTCACCAGAAAAATACTAAATTGACAGTGTCAACATCTATCATTGATATTACTTTACGCACTAGTGTGTGAAGTGAATTACTTTGCGCACTAGTGCGTGAAGTGAAATTTCACGTCTTCTGAATAATGCGTAAAGTGAGTACTTTACGCACGGTAGTAGAAAAAGTTTTTTTTATTGCCGTATATTTAGTGCTATCACCTTAACATTACAACTATCATCTTCCATCGAATCTTTTATTTTTTATATCACACAAGCGTGAAGGTATTTATCTTTAAGCGGTCTATAATTTGAAATTTATCGTCATCAATACTTGACACTTGACACAGAAGTGATCCATTATGTTCCTAGCACCATAAATAACTATTTTGTAACTTTTTTCCCTCCCATGAATTCAACAAGAACAAAAATTAGGTGCCTTCTCGAATGTTTTCCAGTTTTTCATCCAATATTGGTGGTTTGGTTTGGCAAGTTACTTTCTACTTCCAACGGTAGTAAGTAGGTGTTCGCGTAAAAAATCGATTTTAGATACTGAGTGGACCATTTCGAACATATCAGGGTCAGGAGATTCTTTGACTTGTAAGCTTGAACGTGACAGTATGTCTGCAAATTGCACATTTTTACCTGGTAAATAATAAGCATTCAAAGAATACTTCATCAGTTTGAGCCTAAACCTTTTGAAACCTAACTGAACCTATATTTTGAATAGGTTTCTTCATCATTGCGATGATCGAGATGTCGAGACGAGACGAGACCAACCCTAAGTCTCGTCTAGTCTCGTCTCGTGGCACCACTACTAGAGTTTGTGTATTTCTAGATGACATCAAGATACAAGGTGAAGATCTTCAGGAAAACTTGAGTAGAATCCATATGGTATTACAAGTCTTAAGCCTGTCCCAGACACTTCGTGTATTCGGCGAATATTCGGTATTCGGGTTTATTCGCGTAGCGTGTGGGAGGGTAACCTTGGCGAATATTCGTTCTTCGTCATTTTCCCGCCGATTGTCGGTAAACTGGCACGAAGCAAAGGAAGGCGAAGTGACCCGAAGTCCACTACGTGTGACTTCGCACTGCTCCCAGACGCTTCGGGGGTATATGCATAGTGTTTTGTCAGTTTATAGCGGTGTGCAGTGCCGCAAGGTTGATTTTTGCATTTCTAGTTATTTTTAATTAAAATAAGAAATGGAGTGGACCAATGAATTAACGTTAAAATTTTTACAATTATTTGAAAATGAACTTGTCATTTGGAACCCAAAGATACCAGAGGTGTTTTCTGGCGTCTCAAAGTTTTGAAACATTTTTCAAAACTGGTTTAAAACAGTTTCACAATGATTTCATAACTTCTTTTGCGCGAGAAAATTATTTGAAAACGTAGAATGGATTATATTTCGAAGCGGTTTGAACCAATTTTGTGTGAAATCATGGGTTCATCGCGAGATATACTATTTCAAACCCTTTTTTGAACCAGTTTCAAAAAAGTGAACGCGAGAAAACAGCTCAGATCTGCTGAAAATGACAGAAGTAGCGGCGGCAACAATCTGCTCTTCATCAATGTCCATTTGAACTAAATAAACGTCATACATGAAACGCCACTGACAATCGACGGCCATCTGCTTGGAAACTTCGCCGAACAATTGTCAAGTCAAAGCTTCGCCATACCACAACGCCGTGTATATTCGCCTATTCGCCGAATACACGTAGTGTCTGGGACCGGCTTTACAGAATGACGGCCTTCGCATTAAAGAAAAAAGTGTAATTTTTTTGAAAACTTGACTTGCCTAGAGCATGAAATTTCTTTGAATGGTTTAGAGAAGACAGAAGAAGTCAAAGCAGTATGAAATGCACCAACGCCCAAAAATGTTTCAGAATTGAATAGCTGGTTGGGGATGGGTAATTATTACGGAAGATTTCTTGCTTCTAAATTACACCCTCTTTACTGCCTGTTACAGAAAAATGTTAAATTCTATTGGTCACCAAAATGTAAAGAGGACAAGCAGAACGATATGTTCAAACAATGGAAACTAGTTTAAAAAACATGGGAAATGGTGGTAATTTGAACATGTAGCTTGTAAATTTTGGATACAATATAGGAAAGCACCAGATGCTACGACGTGATTCTCCTAGCATTCTTTCAACACCTTTGTCAATTAGTTCGAGTACTCAGTTATGATAAAAAAAAAATCGTGTAAATGGAATTTTGGAACAGTCATTCAACAAATTGGATTATGATAGACCCTGAGATAGGGCCTGTTTAGTGGAGTCATTTTTTTCTGTCTGGCATTTTGAGGGCTGAATGTGGCAAGTTAGCTGATGAGAATATAAGTGGTTTTAATGCCTGCCACCTGTTCGAAATGTCCACAGAATATTTCGCCGGCAAACTAAATTTCGAACTGTGATTACCGTCTGGCGATTTTTCAGTGTTATTTTCAAAACAAAACCTTTTATTCTCTCGATTGCCAGACAAAAAGTAAACGCGGAAGGTTATTTTTTTTTCTCTTGGAAGTTGACACTCATCCCCACTTTTTCAGCTATTGAAAAGCATCTGGTATTTTTTATGGGTGAATTATTTATCAATGTCAATCTTTTATTTAAAAGTCAGGAAATTTGAAATCATTGAAAAAAAATTCTTCATGTAAATCAATTTTTTTCTTCTCCAAATTTTCGAACGGGTGGCAGACATTAAAATCACTTCTATTCTCATCAGCTAACTAGCCACATTCAGCCCTCAAAATGCCAGACAAAAAAAAAAATTACGCCACTAAACAGTCCCTATCTCACAGTCTATGACATTATCTGATAAATTTAGAAGGTAAAACTATTCACAGACACATAGATCAAATAGCTAAGACAGAAGTGAATTCTGAAGAAAATCATGAGGAGACCGACTCAAGTTTTTCTTTTCCCGAAGAAAGAAATAATACCTCTGAGTCTTTTTCAAATATTGAACCAAATTTAAATGTTCCACCTTCCGTTCAGAATCAACAGGATCCAGATCCAGTATTAATAGCTCCTCCTGAGATTATTTCTGAGGAACCACATGAATTGAATTAAAAAAATACGTCAAATCAGTACAAAAATCCCATGTCAAAATCAGATTGTCTGCACTCATCAGGAACTGTCGCAGAATCGGCAGAAGTGAGACGAAGCTCCAGAATAAAAAACCCTATTCAAAGATTTATTCTTTCTTGAGAGGGAGGAATTGTTATATATTTTTAATGTTACCTACCTTTTTGTTACCTTTATAATTTTACTTGGTATTTTATAATTGTCAGATTGTTGTCTTGTCTTGTCAATATATTGGAAAGTAATAAATTGTGATACATACTTCAAAACATTTAATCGGTTTGTACGTCAACTATTTGTCTGTAAATGAAATCATGGAATTTTTGCGTACCAGAATAAATAGCTTAAAGTTCTTTCTCAGTTTGACATAATTAACCTCCTGATTATTCATGGATGCACATGTACAAGCAACCAACTAAATATTATTTTCATATTTTTGGAACATACAGCAACCTAGACCATTCTTGGATGCATCAGATTGCAAAACTGTGTGCCCTAATGGGTCAAATGGAACTGTCTTAGTTATAACTTCCTTTAACTGGTCAAAAGCTCGTTGGAGTTTAGGCAACCATGCCCATCCAACATTATTTTTAAGGAATTCACATAAAGGGACTAAAGGGTGCATTAATTCTGACATGTTATTGACATATGAGCTTCAAATAGTCCTCAACAAAATAGCGGGTCACCACAGAACTCACCGTCAATTCGTCGTAAATCAATCTGTCGTACGTCAATTCGTTGTAGACGTCACTTCGTCGTAAAGTGAATTTGTCGTAAAGTAACGTAGACTACCTCGTACTGGGGGTGAATTGGGTCAAACATGCCTACGGTATAAAAGCAACTGAAACTTATGCATCACTGGTGACTCATGTGGTACCTAATCAACGTGTTAATAGCTTGCAATTTTAATCAGACATTATCAAGCCCACCGATAATAACCCGGATAGTTTGGGTTAGATTAAAATTCCAAACTAACCAGGTTATTATATATATAGAAAAGGTGCAAATTTATACCTTTTAACATTATAACATTATACCCGAAATACGAAAAATTGACATATACGACAATATAAGTAATTAGTCGTTATTATCGGTAAGTTTGATAATTTCTGATTAAACAGAAAAAGTCTTATTTATAGGTACATTTCAACATTATACCTGAAATACGATGAATTAACAACAACACGACGAATTAACGTGTTAATAGTTTGCAACTTTAATCAGACATGATCAAACTC